TCAGGTTTTGTTGCAGTTTTTTAGCAGATTCTATGGAATGCGAACCGTGTATTAAATCGTCCATGTAGAAGCTTCTCTCCAACGCGTCATGAGCAGCGTTGTTTTGGAAGTTGCGTTTTTCATCGTGCGCTAGTCGTTTAAGTGTCATCACGGCTAGAAACGGCGCAGCCTTCGTGCCATAGGTGACGGTAGTAAGTTGATACTCCTTGATTTGATGATTTTGATCACTTCTCCATAGAATTTTTTGATATATCTGGTCAAGAGGATTGACCCAGATCTGTCTGAACATGTTCTCGATATCAGCTCTATAGGCATACTCGTATTGCCTCCACTTGATAATTAGGGTCTGCAAATCCTGCTGCAGATTTGGGCCCCTATACATGACGTCATTCAAACTAAAATTGCTTGATGTTTTAGCCGATGCGTTAAAAACGACGCGTAATTTTGTTGTCGTCGAGGCGTCGCGTTGCACACAATGATGCGGCAAATAGTACCCAGGTTTCACGTTGCCGATGTCGGTGCGGTCATTGGCACTAGGGATCATGTGGCCGAGTGTCTCATATTCATTCATAAATTCCTTGTATTGTTTCGCAACATCTGGTAGCCTTTGAAATTTTCGTTCTAATTGATAAAATTGTCCCTTAGCTTTATATTTTGATTCACCTAATATTTCTTGATAATTAGGTTTAAACGGTATCCGAACTGTATATCTGCTGTCTTCCCCTCTTGATGTTGTTTCCTGATAAAATTGCATACAATTCTGATCTTCCATTGATATGTCTGAAGGTTCCGTGATATCTTCTATTTCCCAAAACCTTTCTATTTCCGACAAATCGTTTAAAATTACGTTGCATTGAAATGATTTAACATTGCCACTTAAGATCCATCCCAAATGCGTTTGTTGCGCCGTAGGTAGATTAGGATGTTCTCTCGATATACCTTCCATTAATATAAGACAGTATACGTCGGCTCCTAACAGTATATCTACGGGTCGACTTTTATAAAATGTCGGATCAGCTAACTTGATATGATGTAAATACGCCCAGTTTGGTTCAGTTATGGAGCAGCTTGGTAAATTTTTTATTAAATTTTTCATGATAAATGCCTCCGTTTGGAAGGTAAAATCATCTACTGTTGACGTGCATTTTATGGTAACCATCCCCCTACAACTATTCTCCTACTCCTGATATTACGCCCTTGCATCTTTGCCGGGGTAGCTTTAAAATCTGTGCTGCGTTTTCCGTGATGATGGGATGTCTGCGAACCTTGATCTAAAAGAGCACGCATCACATGATAGGACCCATCTGCGGCTTGTATTTTAATCATTGCAGTGGGAAGTAAGACTTCTATCGGGTCTCCTTGCAACGACACGTAACTATTACTTTGCACTTGCGATGACGAATGTTGCGCCATAGCGGCGGCCGATGAACTTGATTCCGGTCGCGGGCGCCGTGGTGTCATATGGCTTGATTGAAAAGCTTCATGTAATATAGAATTATGTTCTTTATTACATTCCTTACATCTTTTTTCCGATTTACAAGGATACCCGTAATGATTATAAAGACAGTTGTAACAAAGTCTGTGTTTATCCGCTACGTTTTTCTTGATATGCGGCGGCATTTCTAAAAACTTTGAACAAAAATAGATGCCATGTTCGTTGTTATTGCAAACGACGCACCAATATTTATTGATTGATAAATTCTTGATATTTTTATTCCCCGTATTGTTTGGCGGGATCATGCGAGTTTGTTGAAAAAGAGTTTTTGTAATGATTAGTTTTCTGATAATTGCTTATGTTTTTTCTTGATACTTGATTCTGTTCATTTGAGCTTGATTTTTGAGCGACGTTTTCTTGTTTTCGACGGGAAGATTCTAGTGTTGTAAATTTATTCTCCAAAAATTGCAAAAATTCTTCCAAATTCGGAATTGCACGCGGCTGTTTTACTGATTGCATGTAATCTTGATAAGTGTCTGTATCTAACTTTTGTGACAAAATATGAACCAAAATAGGGTCCCATGATTCAGTGTCGATGCCTAAATTTTTAATGGCGTTTAAACACTTATTAGTTATATCATGAATACGCTTGATACCATTCGCCGATTGTTGTTGCAGGGATGTTCAAGAGGGTATTAGCACGCGCAGTAAAAATTAGTCTCATGTTATCATATCTATTTGTGAGGATAGACCAGCTGACGGCATAATTACTTGAACTTATTTGTAAGTGTTGAATTAACTTTTCAGGCTCACCTCTGAGCTTTCCCTTAAGGAACTGCAATTTTTGAGCGTCCGAAAGAGATGGATTACGGTGAACAGTATCGGTGAAAAGGTCTTTGAAAGGGATCCATTGGCTATAGTTACCCGTAAAAATAGGAATATCCATTCTTGGAGTTGTTTTTTCAATATGTGAGACCGACCACATCTTCTTGTTTATAGATTTCTTGAGTTCATGATAATGTAATTCATATTTAGAAAATTCTTGTTCATATTCCTTCTTCAAACCATTTGTTGGTACCAGTGTAATTGGTCAATGACAGACCAGCGAGATTGCAACGTACGCAACAAGTCTTCAAACTCCCACTTTTCTGAGACAAGTTCTATGTTAATGCCTGATACGGTTCTCATGTATGCTCTAAAATTGCTCAACTGTTTTTTCAACATTTCTTCAGTTTTGCTACTAATTGCCCTATCTTGCCCTTGAGGTTTTGGCAACAAAAATGATGGAGGTTTGAGTACGGGCGTCGGAGGCCTTTCGTCTGCCCCAGTACTCCTTGATGGTAAATAATCCTTGATCACGTCTCAAATTTTTTTATTATTGAGATTGTACGAATAAATGTTTTTCGCTTTTAAAATAGTGAAGAGACGCGTCACCGATGTTCAATAACGTAGCATGATTGCTATTAAATTGAGACCAGTATTTGTCTAAAGAGTCTAAGCGACGCTGAATATAGTCATGGGTCTTGCGTTCAGCTCCATCCTTCTTAAAATTGATGAAAAGCGACTCGATTGCAGCTGCTATCTTCTTTTGCTCAGATAAAAACTCTTCTACTCGCGACATGATAGAGAAAGTCAAAAAGATCTTACTTGAAAACCCTTTATACTTGATATGAAAGGATATATTAATACGCCTTGCTGCCAGGTAACCCGCCTGTAGTCTTGTTGTTAATGCTGCAGCACAACACGACAGTTCTTGATAACTATGCACTGTTGGCAATGTCCACGTGTAAAATCAAAGTCCGAACCGGAACACGAACACGTGTCTTGATACCGTGTCATGTTCAAGTTTACAGAAGGCTCGAAGGACCATGTAGGAATTTAGGGTTTCCTAGAACTTGATATAAAACACTCTTGATATAAGTTAAAAACTGTATTGTCCGAAAATTAATAAACAACTTGATAATGATAAATGAGAACGCGTGACATGCTTGATGACTGACAGCGAACTGCCGATTTAATGCCGATTATTTTAGAACACAACAAAAACGATGAGGCGTGCAATTGACGCCGTTTTGTAAATATGTCGAGCGTAGCTCGTACATGAACTAAATAAATTTAAAAGTCGTTTACTAAGTTGTGTCACTTGTAATAAATCCACATTAAAATCTCCACAAACTATTACAGATTTACTACTTGAACAGAGTTTTTTAAGGACATCATCCATTACACACTCAAACAGATCGAAATCACCTGAGGAGGGTCGATACACGCATACTATAATATACTGTTGACTCTCAACGCAGGATAATTCTATAGAACGTTCGACAGAGTATGCTACTATATCCTGTCGATTTTTACAGACTATATCAGTTCTTACTAACACGGGGGAGCCACCGCGAATAGCATTTGCTCTTACGAACGAACTTAACAATTTATAGTTATGTAACCATGTCTCTGTTAAGCAGATGACATGAATGTTAAATCTTATAAGAAACAGCTCAATTTCAGGTTCTTTGCCACCTATGCCTAGTATATTGGTGTTCAATATTTAATTAAAGTGGCTTAGGTGTTGTCTCAATGTTGTATATATGTTAATCTAATGTTGTATATAGAATACCGCCGCCCACGGACATCTGTTACACGCGAGGGTTCCAGATGCGTTGACAACCTTTTGAAAATTGGGCTCCGGCAACCTCACTCACCAGACGAAACGCGAAAGTATTATACTTCCACTTTACGCCGGTCTTCTGTGAGGTCGTGGTACTTACTAAAAATTTTTTTTAATGTTGCTAAAAATATCAATGGTATTGTATTTAAATTTTGTTAGTCCGGTTTAAGCATTTTTCCATGCAATGAAAGACTTTTGAACTATAGCAATTTGTTTCTAAACAGGTTTCCGGTTTTCTGGACTCGACTTTCATTGTATCTTATGAATAAACATTTGAAATGTCTTCATGCATCTCGCGGATGAAAAAAAAAATAAAATTTTCGTGTAAAATATATTTGGATTTGGAACAATTTTAAGTTATTTTTAACAACCACCCTACGGTGGTAGCTTCACGCAGCAGTCTCGGCTGTTGCACAAATGTACAGGCCCGTCCGGGTAAGTACCACGACCTCACAGAAGACCGGCGTAAAGTGGAAGTATGACAAATACTTTCGCGTTTCGTCTGGTGAGTAAGGTAGCCGGAGCCCAATTTTCAAAAGGTTGTCAATGCATCTGTAACCCTCGGGTGTAGCAGATGTCCATAGGCGGCGGTATTCACTTACCATCAAGTGAATCGTCTGCTTGTTTGGCAACTTCTCACATAAAAAAACTTTAATAACCCATCTTCGGGTAATGCCATAAAACGCTCTTAAAGTCTTATTGCCAAACCAAATAAGTGAACACACAACACACACTACACACACACTATACACTACACAACATACACTACTTCTAAGCTATGTTTGCCAATGCTAAAGATTAACATCGTTTACGAAACCCTCTGTACAAAGGAGCCCTTTGCCCAGCAGTGGGACATGAATAGGCTGATACTATATAATTTTTTCTATCAAATTTCAGGTCACATCTTCAATTTACTACTACTTCATCGCTAAGGTGACCGAATTAATGGACACTATCTTCTTCGTGCTCCGCAAGAACTACCATCAAGTCACTTTCTTGCATATATACCACCATACTATGATGATGTGTTGCACTTGGATCATGTTGAAATATGAGCCATCGCAGAGCACCATTTTCCTTGGGAATGTAAACTCCTTCGTCCACATAATTATGTACGGATACTATGCGCTCTCTGCGTTTCCAGGCCTCGTCCGGTACCTGTGGTGGAAGAAATACATTACTATTATGCAAATGGTAAGTTTTGCCCCGGTTACCTCACTCACCAGACGAAATGCGGAAGTGTAACACTTTCACTTCACGCCGGTATTTTGTGAGGTCACGGTACTTCCCCGGACGGACCTGTCTACCACATTGAACAACGCAGTTACTGATAAATCAATGTAGACCTACGTACAACAATTATCAATCTGAGTAACAATGAGATATTCTCCATATTGCTGAAAATTATAACAAAAGGTCAAACTAAGTATTAATTTCGTATTTCTAACTGTGTACTTAACTGTAATCTTTTATATACATACATATAAACATAGACGTGTGTATATAAAAACATTCATAATAGTCGTATGGAATGATTTTCTACAAATTAAAAATTCTAGAAGGTCTTAATGAGTCAATTGGTGGTAGCTCTTTGGTCACGTTGACCAATTAACAACAAAATAGTACTAAGTGTTACATCAATAAGTAACTATAACCAAGATAATCATCCATCATGTTAGTAAAAAGTAAACCGACCGAGAAATCCAAATTTTTCGCGGAAATCAGTTTTTTTAATCCTAATGGGATCGACACAGAATGCTGAACTTTAATTACATGTTAGATGCTCATTCAATTAAGTGTATGCAATGCATACACTTAATTGAATGAGCAATTTACGCATTCATTTAATATTGCCAAGCCCTTGTTCAGGTTAAATGTCAGCTGTATAATCATCATTGTAATTTAACAATACTAATTACGCACGAATGAGGGTTTTAATTGAAAATAGCGAGTGGCCGAATGAACTAGAAGTGTAGAATTGTGTTCTTCGCAAAGACCTAGACATGTTGTTACCAAAAACCTTTTCGTAACTTACAAATATTTCGAAATTACAATCGCTAATGAGTTGAAGATTGGAACTAATGCCATCGATAAAAATATTGGATTTTGAAAAGTTAACTAGAAGTACTTATCGGTAAAGAACTACTACATTTCTTGAAAGTATTATTAAGAGGTAGAAGCGAGCTTTCCGTCGTAGATTAGGCGAATATTCGAGAAAAAAAAAATCATTGGTTCGCCTTTATTTGCTTGATTTTAACTTGCGTTCTCGTACTAGCCAACCTTTCTAGACAAAAAGATTAAGAAGTTCGTCCTAAAATGTTTTAGACTACGTACTTAAAAATATACATATCCATACATATAATCTAAGTTTATTTTCTGAATATTCTCAGTCTTGAAAATATTCAGAATGAGAGATGAGTCGGTGAGGCCGTTGCTTACCTATTAACTTTGGCTTCGGGGGTAATCGTTCCGGATCTGTGCTTTTGTTCACCAAGGGGAGTTGGCGTCAGTCATGGCCGCCGGTTGTAAGAAAACAGTCAAAACCGCTCACAGCGTGATTCGAATGCTGTGCCGATCCCACTTAAGTGGGATAAGGCGGGAGGATGATAACGTCAAGGTGTATACGTGGTGATTTTCATTTGCAAACGACTCCAATTCTCAATTCGACTGTACTTATTATGTTTGTTACCTCAGAACTTTCGGCTGAGTGAACGATTCTGAAGTTCCTTATTTGAAAGCTGGTGTTTCCCATGTGGTACCATTTTAATTTCATCGGCATTGGAACTCCTGAAAATCAATTATAAAATGTACGCAGAACGAGATTTGTAGTCGGTTTTGTTTTATTAATGTAATCCTACAGCAGTTGTTTGTTCTTCTTTGTTTCAGTTACAATTCGCGTGTATAATATTACAAGCAGCTGTTAGCTATGTGTACACGCCGTGCCCACCTTCATACACACTATTACTAACAATTTCACTGAATGCAGTGCTGTTCATCATTTTATTCGCGAACTTTTACGTGAAGGCATATCTTATGAAGAATAGAGGGAAATGTGAACAGAAGAACGGCGCTAGAACGGAAGTAACTAAATTGGAATAGACATTAAGGTGGAATCTTGTAGAAATAAGTGAAATTTTTAAAATATTGGCCAATCTTACTATTCTATTATTAATAATCTATACGGTATATTGTTGGCTACTAATATACTTTAAAATTAAAAGTGAACTATCTTTTTTATAATATCTTTATAAGCTATATATAACTATGTGATGTAAAATATCTGCACCATATGCAGTATTTGGCATTTAAGAATGAGATTTAAGGAAGAGAAAAGATTTGAAATCAAAATTGTCTATCACCGCCGAAAGAAAAAAACAAAATTAACCGCCTTCTAATAAATAAGTCTTCTTATGAGTCTGTAAAATTCTTTAGGCACTGTGTTCGACACTGAAGAGTAGATATAGATTTTAGGTAAAATTGTCGGAAGTACATTGCATGTACTTATCAGTTCATAAATTATTTAATTAATAAAAACAATAACACAAATTAAACATATCAACTTCAATCCGTGATCGATTTTTGACAATGTAATTTAGCTGCGAAAGTAAATAAACATCGATAATCATGATTTGTGCTTTATTGTTATTTTTCAAGACCCATATCATTTTATTTCCTTTACAGCTTTAAACAGGGTAACGAAAGCGAGGTCTTTAGTAGACTTAGCTCAGCAGCTTTCGCGGTCAAAAAAATAAGACAGTTAACTGATGTTGATACGGCTCGCTTGGTATATTTTAGTTATTTTCACAGTATAATGTCTTATGGCATTCTGCTTTGGGGTAACGCGGCCGACATTAATACAATCTTTATCTTACAAAAGAGAGCTATTCGTGCAGTTTACAATCTGGGCCCCAAAGAATCGTTAAGAAACTTGTTTAAAGAGATAAAGGTATTGACTGTAGCTGCTCAATACATTTTTGAAAATGATTTGTATGTCCATAAAAATAAGGATAAATTTTTAAGACATAATAATGTTCATGATATAAATACTAGGAACAAAAATAAATTGATCCTACCCACAAGTAGACTCCGAAAAATAAGTAAATCTTTTATGGGACAATGTATACGATATTACAACAAAATTCCAGAAAACGTTCAAAATGCATTAATAGCTAAATTTAAAAAAATAGTAAAAGAACGTTTGTGTGTTAAAGGATACTATAATATTAATGATTATTTAAATGATAACACACTCTGGTAATGAACTGATCGCTCCAGGCTCTTTCAATCGGAGTTCTTATATTGTATTTTAACGAATTTATGTCAAACTGCTTATTTAAAAAAAAAAAAAAAAAAGCCCGCTGAGTTTCTTTCGCCGGTTCTTCTCAGTACAGTGGCTTTCTTTTCCGAACCGGTGGTAGTGAGTTTTGACTATCAATAAGTGAGTGTAATGCTCCTATGTTGAATAAATACATTTGATTTTGATTTTGATTTCGACATGAAATGACCACAGGTCATGATAGCTATATCAGAAATTATCCACTATTGTTATTATTTATATCTTATGTTAAGATCTATGTCTAAGTTTACCGTAATTTACAAAAAAGATTGTACGTGAACCAAAGAATAGCCAAATTGAGAGTATCTTACAAACCATTATATAAAAGACCAAATTTAAAAAAAAATCATCATATTTTCATTTATGTTTTATACTACTAGCTACTACTAACTATCTTTCATTAAAAAAAATCCAAATAAAAAATAGCCTATGTCTTTTCTCAGGCTCTAGACTATCTGTGTATCAAATTTCATTTAAATCGTTTCAACAGTTTTGGCGTGAAAGCGAGACAGACAGACAAAGTAACTTTCGCATTTATATAATATTAAAGTATGGATTTATAGTCAATATTTGCTTTATAAAAATACTGCGCGCACGCAAGGTTAGAGATTTGGCATAGTTATATATGGAAATTTTATATGGAAAAGAAGTGCCCAAATGTAGATTTAATATACAATACGTATCATAAATGCATGAAGTAAAATACAAGTTTCTTAGTAATTGATTAATGTTCAACATGTGTGATAAAAATTTAAAGGTCAGTATAGTAATAGTTTATAAGAGTATAGTAATACTTTATAAGGAGTGGATAAAACAACATAATTGTATGTTGAATTGTTTATTGAAAAGTACACAACTGAGCAAAGTATTAGGAAATAATACTTTTTTGCTAACTGCGGGAAATACCTACGCATACCCGCCCTCGTGGGGGCAATGAAGAATTATATCGGACTCACTCCGATTAAACCCCCCACCCACCGATGTTCCGCCCAGGCGCATATCGGCAGGGTCACGGGAACCCTTTCACACACTTCCGCGCCTGCCCACCGCTGGCCGATTCTCGAGGAGCAACTCCCATCTCCTCCAGGTAGGGTAACCTTCGTGGGTGACCAAGCCACGGCTACTTAGCCTCTCCGTCACGACAAGGGGAACACGGTCGGATGGGAGCATTTCGTAATCCTGATAGTATAAAGCCAAAACAAGTTAGATACTTTACGGTGGTAGGGCCACGCAGCAGCCTCGCCTGTTGCACGTATGGGCTGGCTCGTCCGGGTAAATACCACGACCTCACAGAAGATCAGCGTAAAGTGGAAGTAAATACTTTCACGTTTCGTCTGGTGAGTGAGGTGGCCGGAGTCCAATTTTCAAAAGGTTGTCAACGCATCTGGAACCATAGGGTGTAGCAGATGTCCATGGGGGCCGGTATTCACTTAACATCAGGTAAACCGTCTGCACGCTTGGCAACTTTTCACATAAAAAATACTAGTGTTCACTATATAGCTCCCGCAATACGAGATGTATTTGAAAACGCATCGCTGTATTTCGATGATCTGCTTAGTAAGCTACCTGACATGTCAGTTAAAGACTGCAGCCTCATCTCACGATATGCTTCCAAGGTGTTGAAAGTGTGATTGGAGAGTTTTTGGGTTATACTTGTGTGGATCGCGGACGCAAGTTTTTATGGAACACGGACAGATTTCACTGCTTAGTGTTAATATTGAGTATATTAACTGTGCTACAATTTTCCAGCGACTGGAAGAGTATATGTTGTTTGAGCTGCAAACTTTCGGAGTTTTATTATATGTTTTTTAATCAATGTGCTTCTCACTAACAAAAGCCTATCTGGGCTATTCCAGGGCTACTTTTTATTTAGCACTGATTTTTGAAGCAAGAGTTCGTCATACAGAGTTTCTCCTTCTCCGTAAAGTTAGCAAGCTGCCCCCCCTTAGGGTTCCGCTGGTCTACTCAAAATTATCCACTCTCAGCACATTGTCGTTCCTTTTGCCTAGTGTTAAATTGAACAGGTTTTTGGTTTTAATAAAAAATATACGGGAAATATGGAATTAGAACATTTTTTCTATGTTAATCCCCATTCCCTCTATCTTCTCAACCTGTCATGTCAACTGGATAACTTTTATTTATGTAATAATATTAATTCGGATAAAGACTGGTCAATGAAAACAAACACACAAACAGGTTACTCTTAGATATTAATAATAACTTTTTAACTGCAAAACTTTACACACAAGGAAAAAATTCTTTGTTTATAGAAACAAACAGTCTCTTCAATAATTACATAAAAAGTATTTACTTCTTAAATATTATGAAGCACGTTAGTATCTTCGCATAAGAACGAAGAACATGTCTTTGTTTTATAGTTATTTGTCTTTTAACAATCAACGTAAGGAATATTATGTTTGTTTAAATTGGAACTGGCACCTATATGCCAAGAGTTAGAGGTTATAAGATAATGTTAACCTCCTAGTAAAGTTGGCTTGTTCTATTTGGTTTAATTCAATTGCCAATAAAGGCAATACTGTCTAGTCATAATATGTTTTGAAAATGTCGACAGAAGCAATATTCATGTAATCGAAATTTTAAGAATCTGATATTACTTTAATTCAGAGTTTTAATTTAAATATAAAACTTACGCAGAATATAACCACGAATAAATAATAAAGATTACGTGTGGTTGAGAAGTTAACGGTGTGTGATGGTCGGGAGAAAAATCGGCACCAAATTTCAACGATTAAAATAATCTCAGTATCCTGAATGATGTTAACCCGGGTATTATATGTGCTCATAAGATTTAAATAATTTCTGTAGTTGTAATGAATTCCATAAGATATCAATGAAACTGCCCTTCTAGTAACCATAAACACTTTTACTATAACGACAGCTCAAAAAACAGCTCCTTCTGCACAAAAGGAAATACCGGGAAGCACACCGGTGTCAAAGTGTCAAAACAGGCATGATTGATATAAAGCCCCGAATAAAAGATTATAACTAGATATAATCTTTTATTCGGGGCTTTTGAGATTCTGGGTTCACTACGGGTGCGGTGTGCGTCTGAATTTCGTCTAATTTATCGCCTGATGATCCACTCAAGTAGTTGGTCTTTTGAAATGATAAAGAAAAATCGTCATGAAAATCCCTTAAAATATTTCACAATTATTCAAACATATATTTTATTTTTGACGATTTTCTTGTGCATCCTATAGTATAGTGTTGATATATATCCGTTATCTGAGAGAAAAAGAATCGTTAAAATCGAACAATGTTGTTGAAATTTGTCCGTAGTACAGGCATAAAATCAATGTTCCGAAGACAACCTTCTTTCTTTTTAGGGTTCCTAACGCAAAGGGTAAAACGTGGCCCTATTACTTAGAGCCCGATTTCATTAAACAGATTATGTATTTCTGTTACCTTTTAACAACAAAAAAAAAACAGAATAAAACATATTGAAGTGGGCCTCCCCTGCAACGGAAATTACTTTTTTGCCGTTTTTATAGATAATGGTGCGGAAACCTTTTCGCGAGTGTGACTCGCACTTGGGCGGTTTTTCTTAAGTCGCTTTATACTTTACTTAGTCTTACTAGCTAGTGAGCAAACGCTTCGAATAAAGGTCAGATGGTGGTCAAAACCCAAAACCCAAAAAAACGGTAGACTTGCTGTGGTATAGAAATGTTACCGTGTACTTGTGCTATTGTCCAAATGAAGTCGGGAGAAGTATTATGACGTCATAGGACACAGGCGTGAAGTGGAGGATTTACTCTTTAGCGTTACGGCGTGAGTGTGGTAACTGGAGTACTTTTTTAGGTTGGCAATGCACTTGCAAACCCTCATGCATTAGTACATGATAACACATTTCATATTAGCATGGGGGAAATGGTTACGTTGTGGCACCAAGGGTGCTAATCATGACGGCTATCTTTATGTGAAAGATTACCAAGCAAGCTGGTTGTTCACGTATGTTAAGTGAGTACCGCCAACCATGGACATCTGCTACACAGTGAGTTGCAGATGCGTTGACAACCTTACGAAAATTGGACTCCGGCTATCTCACTCACCAGACGAAACGCGAAAGTATTATATTTCCACTTCACGCTAGTCTTCTGTGAGGTCGTGGTACTTACCCGGACGAGTGCGGCCACCATTCCACCTAGAGTGCATATTTACAGGGTCAAGGGACTTTTTACGTGTACTTTCGCAACCCCACCACAACTCTACGGCAGGTAAGATGCACTGGGACATAAATCGCGCCTTCCTACCATCCCCGTTTACAGGCTCTCGTCTCAGACCGTAGACAGTCTCAGAGACTCAGTCCGTAGTAGGAGAGCCCCATGGGACCCAGAAGACCTCTAGAGATGGCAACTGGTCTAAGGCACCACTCTTCACAACGTTTCGGCAGCGTATGATAGGATGATACCTGGTGGAACCTAGTCTGAGGCTTCGCTACACATAACATTTCTGCAGTAAGAAGTAGCGATAGTGACGCCAATGCCAACACTCCTCTTCTCTAACTACTCCACCTCGATTGTAGGTCTCAACCTGTCGTGCATCGTAAAATTTTTACTCTCATAATTTACATTCAAATTGTAATAATTTACAATAAATTCAATAAATCAAACGCTTTTTTCAATACCGTCAACATTTATTTTTAAAAGGTACCCGCAATACATTTCATGGTTCACGGATTTCATTACCCAGTTTTTATCATATTTGCTTTTGTTTACGCGTAAAATAGTCATCGCTACTGTCACCTTGCAGCCCAGAACACTTAACTTTAAAATGCTTAATTCGTTTTTCGTTTGCTTGTGTACGATTTAAGGAAGAAGTCACCGAATAAAAACAAAAATAGTATTGCATTGAATATTATAGTGGAGAAAATGATGTAAGACGGTCGACATGAAGAAATTTTGTAGCTTAATACCGCCTGAGCAAAAATCAAAAGGAACTGGATCTGAAAACATAAAATGTGTACACTCTAGCATAAAATAATGCAAGTATTGTATAAAGCTATTACTACATTGGGCGAATGCAAAAAACGATGCCCCAAACGATAGCCATAACAATTTTTTTTTCTGTCCCCAATTTTATGGCTTATTATATTAAAGGTCAACGTCGGGGGCGTGGGTTCGATTCCTACACGGGACAAGTGTTTATGTGACCCACAAATAATTGTTCCAGTTATTGTTTCCCAAGGGCCGCGTGATCCCGGCCGCCTTTTTAAGAACAACCGGCCGGCTGCCTAACCTCATATTGCGACCCCAACTAAGAGATAAGGGCAAGAGGAAAATGATTTTCCTGGATCAACGAGGGCGGTGCTAACGACGTACCGCCACGTCAGAAGAGCGAAACGATCGAAGGAATGAAGCTCGAATTCTTTAAAAACACAACTTTTATTACTTAAAAAAAAGCACATGCAATAATTTCTTTAACCGCAATAAGCCATAGTGAGGAGTTTCTTACTTTTTTTTTTCTAATTTAAACAAAACGTTTATTACGGTGGTAGGGCCACGCAACAGTGATCGCTGTTGCACGAATAGGAAGGTCCGTCCGGGTTATTACCGCGACCTCACAGAAGACCGGCGTAAAGTAGGAGTGTTGCACTTTTGCGTTTCGTCTGTTCGTATGGTCTGCGAGGTAGCCGAGGCCTACATTATTAAGAGGTGGCAACGCATCTGCAACTCTACCGGTGTTGCAAATGTGGGCAGGCGGTTATCACTTAATATCAGGTGAACCGCCAGCTCGTTTGCCAGTTTCTCACATAAAAAAAATTGCATACAACTATACAAAGTTTAGTACTTTCCGTTTATTTAACACATTTCTTCTGAACTTTTAATGCTGCACTTGATTTTTTTCATTGCGAAACCTTTTAATTGGCCTTAAATATGTTAAATTTCATCACACAATAACTGTTCTATCTGTAAGTTTTCCAAAAATGTATATAAGAAAAAGTTTCCACCTCACCATTTGCATCGATGTCAAATATTTCTTCCACCAGAGATACTTAGCCAGGCCGGGAAAAGAGGACAGCCCGTAGTATGCGTACATTACTATGTGAACGAACGAGTTGATCGTGCCAAGGAATATCGTGCTGTACGTGGGTTCGTATTTCAATGTAGACCAGGTGATGGCCACCATTATCGTATGGTGGTATACGTGGAGGAAGGTAATTTGGCTATTTTTCTTTCGGAGCACGAAAAACACGGTGTCGAGTAGCTCCGTTACTTTTGCAATGAAGTAGTAATAAGTGGCGAACGCAATCTGCAATAAAGGGTGATTTTTTTAATTATTTTCTCATTTGTGGCAGATTGTAGAAAATTATTTAAAAAAACACGAGAGTTTTGACATGTGGAAAGTCAGCATACTAAAATGACAAAATAGAGTATCAATGGCAATAAGTAATGAGAAAATATATTCTCAGATCTGGAAGAAACTGTGGCCCAGATGCCAAGGTATCGAGGTTCGTGGGTTTGACTCCCACACGGGACAACTATTTGTGTGACCCACAGATAATTCTTTCGCATCTGGTTGTTTGTCCGCGTGAAATTTATGTTTGTAAAACGTCCTTACAACACAGGATAATGTTATCTTATTAAATAAGGACAATGTTTAAAAAAAACCTTTTACCTCTGCCTACCTCAGGTATAGTGTTCTTGTACGTTAATATAAATTAATATTAAAGTTGAAATATACTTACATATAACATCAAGTCTTTACTCTCTGTTATACATTTTCTCGGCGAAATCAATCCATTTCTTAAAATGAGATCACATCCCTAAAAATAAAGTTGATATCGTGAATCAAACGATGACTCCGTGGCGCAGTTGTTAAGCTATTTGTTTCGGTGTCGGGGGTCGTGGGTTTGATTCCCACACGGGACAAGTATTTGTTTGACCCAAGAAAATTGTTTCGGGTCTGGGTGTTTTTCCCAAGGAGGGTTGACGTCAGGCTGGTGGCCTGTCGTAATGATTCACATGATGTGAAGAGCTGACTTCATCGCAGGGATAAGGGCAGGAGGATGTTGATGATATAAAGTCTATGTGGGAAGGGTAATGCGGTAGGTGCCTCGTTGGGTGATCGCGGAAGTGTGCGAAAGCGTTCCCGTGGCCCTGCCGATACGCGCTTAGATGGAACTCCGTAGGGGTTTGAGCCGGTGCAACTCCAACCGGTCTTGCCCCCGCGGTAGCGGGTGTGCGTAGGCATTTCCCCCACGGGAACAAAAAAAAGGTCCAGTTGGGTGAATTAAATAAAATTTAGAATGGAAGCAGAATATATACTTTTATATGATTTAGAATCAAATTTTACGTATAAACTTAATAGGTAAAGTTGATCTACTTTAACTGTTAAGTAAACACTTAATAAAATTAAGTTAAAATATGCATGTAAATTTATCATCGCAGTGTCCGTTTATTCAAGTGCTTAATGTTCTTTATTTCAGTAAAAGTATATTCGTGCAAAGCGTGCTCAAATCACGATGGCGACACTAATAAAAGCAAAATTACTATTTTATATTCCGGTTTACAACCTATTAAAAATTTACGAGGAAACAGACACGCATGTTAAATAAAATATTACAAAAACATAGTTTTGTCTGAAATATTAGGCGGACCTTCAAGCCGAGTATGATTTAAAAGTCTTCGATACAAAGCCGTAAATACTTTGATGTAAAATTATTAATTCATTCGTTTAGAACCAACATATCTCTTATGGACATGCAAGCAATGAACATCTTTTAACATGCACTACTTTTTTTGCAACCCTACAGGTGTTGCAAATGTCCATGGGCGGTGGTTATCACTTAACGTCAGGTGAATAGTACAGCTCGATTGCCACCTTCTCACATAAAAAAATCCTTCCCTCGTGAAAATCTACAACAACTAGGGATTGCAGGTGCGTACAACCTTTAGTAATGGCGTGCCCTGGTTACTCCACGCCGGTCTTATGAGTGTGGTATCCAGGGCATGTACTTCCGCGGACGAGCTTGCCCATTCGTGCAACAGTGGAAGTTGACGCGTGGCCCTACTACAGAGTTTCACTAACATAGTTTCTGATAAGTAATTTATATTTTATAACCATGTATGAATGGCGTCCGCTTTCGAAGGGGCAGAGAATGATGTAACACAAGATATCCCGTACATTTTCCTATCTCCACTGTCGCTTTTTCACAATACAATTTTCGAATTATAAATGTGTAACTTGTTTGTACCCATCCGGACTAAATATAGCTCACTGAAGTTTTTTTGTATGTTATTTTCACTCAAGGGCTTAACATTACACTGCTCGTACGACTGCAAGTATTTTGACGAATTGCTGAGTTTTTAAATATTTACAGAAAAATATTAGGGTGGTATAAAACGCCTAATCGCCTTAACGCCGAAGAATAAATAAAAAGTAAAGTAACAGCCTATACATGTCCCACTGCAATTAGGGCATAGTCCACCACGTGGCCCACCGCGGATTGGCGGACGTCACATACCTTCGAAATATTTTTTTTTATTATTATTTCGAAAATGTGCAGGTCTCCCCACGATGTGTTCCTTCACCGCGGAACACGTTATAATTCAGCACTTAAAATAAACGATTCCCCGGGAATCGAACTCAGGTAGCTCGAGTATAAGTAATTAAAGGCGAGTGCAAAGACACTGAGCTGTCACGGCTCTTTATATCTTCAAGAATAACTATGTTTTAAATATCAGTAAATGAGACCTTACGGAAAAGTTTCAAGATGAGTGGACGGAACAATTACATAATATACTGAATAAATACATATACAGCGTGTCGTTACCATCGCGACAATAAATGAACACACGACTAACGCTACTTGCCAATAATCATAAAAAATATTAACGTTAAACAAAATCCATAATTAAAAAAAATATTTTTCAAACAAACTAATTAAGTAAAAAGAAACAAAATTTGTAACACCTATACAACTCGCGCCACAGCGTCGTATTACAAGCCTCTCATTCTAACAGTATGTTTTGTCTCTTTTAAATTCATTCAACCCATTCATATGCTTTGTGACCTTTACAAATGAACTTTACGTTACGCTTTTATAGGTAAGGGTGTTCTAAAATTCTTTGTTTTGGAAAATTTAATAACTCTGTAAATATTGATGTTTAAAGAATATAAATGTTTAATACAACTTTAAAAAGTTATCCCCTATATGTGTGTTCATTTATTGTCGCGATGGTAACGACACGCTGTATATGCGTTTATATTTAATGCTATTTATGTTAAAATTATCGGTGCAAATGTGCGGGAAGTCGATGTTGCATGGCAGTCATGGGAGATCTGTGATCAGCGGTGGTGGTCTAGTACAATCTGAAATGATGATGATGATAAAATAATCCTTTGATAAATTTTGGGGCAACATCAAATATATATAGAAAGATATACCTTGAGTGAAATTAGTTTTGGTAGTAACCCATTAGATTACGGTGGCAGGGCCACGCAGCAGCCTCGGCTGTTGCACGAATGGGCAGGCCCGTCCGGTTAAGTACCACGACCTCACAGAAGACCGGCGTAAAGTGGAAGTATGACAAATACTTTCGCGTTTCGTCTGGTGAGTGAGGGTCTGAGCCCAATTTTCAAAAGGTTGTCAACGCATCTGTAACCCTCGGGTGTAACAGATGTCCAAGGGCGACGGTATTCACTTACCATCAGGTGAAACTTCTGCTCGTTTGGCAACTTTTCACATAAAAAAATAAAAAAAGATGATTATTTTAATTATTGCTTAAGCCACTCGCCTCAAATTTGCTTTTTTTATGGATATCGCGGATAGTTATGTCAGTTTTCGGATTGCGAACGGTACACATCGTATCTATCTATAATAAAAATTCACATACCATGTGGAACAAAACAATGGAAAAAATCACTTGAAGTGCGTTGTAAAATACAAGAACGCCGTTTAAATTGAACGGTTTCTTTTTCTTCATGTAGTCGGGACCAGTTTTTAGTACAAAGACTAAATAAGATATCAATATGGTCAGAACTGGTAGCGGCGAAGACATCAGGAACCATTTTTCGACGTTGAGGTCTGAAACGATGTAAATAAAAAAAAAAAGAAATTTCAGGCATCCGGTTGAATAAAACCAACAAAGTATAATTATCAGTATTTTCATTAAAAATGTTTCTTTTAAAAATCAGGCTATTTTAAGGTAAAAGTGATTTTTCTACATATTTTAATTTTAATAATAGAGATTCACTAAGAATGTGTGAAATTAATATGGGAACCGTAAAATATATCGCTTAAGTCGAGTATCTGGTGTGATTCTGTAAATATTTAAGAAAAGAATTTCAATTTTGTAAGTTATCCAAACGTATAATTCGTAAAAATATTAATAAGTCCGAATTACCTTCATGTTGCGAAGATAACAAATTCTGCACGCTTCCATTTTCTACCATGTTTTTCGATCAATTTTTCTATATTTTATTATTCTTCGCAACACGACTAAGTGACGACTTGCGCGGATTTAACGCAAAATGAAATGACAACTATATTATATGCACAATACTTGACAATGCGATTAAGCGGTTTATTAGTACTCACCAATGACACTTAATTACATTTCATAACACTTTTAAATATCTAATTGTGCTTTCACGTTAATCGTAATTAACAACAAAAAAGTTCTGGACACATGTTACATTCAAACACATTAATTAGGAATCGTTTTAAAATTGCATAGTGCTGTTTATGATGTGCCAAAAGGCTACAAACACAGACAGGCATGCAGAGACAAAAACAAGCTGGAAGTACAGTGCCTAACCGTATCTTCTGTGTACAAAACATATATGACATGGTTTTGTCACAGAAAAAACAATAATCTACGGAAAGCTCTAACCTCAGTTTAAACATAACCTAAACATAAAGAACAGAAAAAGCGCTTAGGAAATAATAAGACGGCTGAACTCGTTTAATCGATAAATTTTAAAGTTTTTTTATAGTGCTAATCTCTGCACTAAAGTTGGAACATTAAAACATGTAGAAAAAGTACGAATAGATTGTCGCCGCTGTGGGAATAGAACCCACGTCTTCGGCATTCGCGGCCTGACGCTCTAGCCACTGAGCTAAACGGCTGATAACCACAGAGACGAAAATCTTAACGCCTTCTTTCTACATTGTTCTTTAGCATTTGAAGCAATGCTTGGCGCATCTATTGTTATATCCTTTCCAGCATACAAACAATTTCGAATATTGTTTTACAACGATAATTCGAACGAGAGATGTCGCCATTGCTATTTATAAATTTTAAAGTTTTTTATAGTGCTAATCTCTGCACTTAAGATTGAACATTAAAACACGTAGAAAAAGTACGAAATGATTGTCGCCGCTGTGGGAATCGAACCCACGTCTTCGGCATTCGCGGCCTGACGCTCTAGCCACTGAGCTAAACGGCTGATAACCACAGAGACGAAAATCTTAACGCCTTCTTTCTACATTGTTCTTTAGCATTTGAAGCAACATCGTTTAATCGATGTTATGCAGCGATTAGTCTCGACTCCAGCCTCTAAAATATGATTTTTCTAAAGTACGATGAGTTTAGAAAAGTCATATTTTATTGATTATTCTAGAACTAATTTAAACATGTGGTACGTGACGAAACTTAACAGCTTGTGCATTTTCCTGCGGTCACGTACGAATGGATGATATTCTTAATGATCAGAATGTTCAATCCAGGACTTTAACAATCAGTTTTGGCAACTCAAACTTCTACGATGATCAATGTTTCAGAAACCTGGCGTACGTTTGGCTTTGAACATAAATAACAGGTTCTCCGTTTGAAACACTATCATAGCTTATGTTCCGATTTCATTCCGGGAGCAGTTAGTTATACCTTTACATTTTTTTTGCTTAATATATGATAGCTCAGTGTCTGGGAGCATGCCTTTAATTCAATTTACTCGAGCGACACGAGTTCAATCCCCAGTGCCAGCACCGATGAGATTGTTGATTTTAAGTGCTGATTTATCACTTGCTCAGCGGTGAAGCAAAACATCGTGGGGAAACCTGCATATTTTCGAAATAAAAACAAAAGATGTATCTCGAAGATATGTGTAGTCCGCCCATCCGCAGTGGGGCCGCGTGGTGGACTATGCCCTGATACCCTCTGTATAGAGGAGTCCTTTGCCCAGCAATGGGACATGTACAGGCGATATTATCCTGCTCAAGATGTAAGATTATAAAGTTTTATTGATTATTTAGGACGGAGGCATTGTTACAGATAAATAAATACTGTTGATGTTTGAATGGCCGTGAAGATAAATATTTGTTATTTATTGTATAGGTTAATGTAGTAAATAGTAACGATTTTCTGTAATAGCCGGTCTAAACCTCGGTACTTCTAGAGTGTGACGACGACCCAGAAATGATGAGATATTTATAAAAATATCGGTCAAAAGTGAGTCGAACTCATGCGATGAGGGCACGTAGCACCATATTACAATTGGTAAATAATAATTATTTGGTGATAATTTAGAAAATTGGTGGTAATTATTATTACCAATTTTCTCAGGAACGGATGAACTTGCTAGAAGTTGAAATTTATACCAGGTACTGAGGTCTATTAGGTGTACAAAAATCCTCTCCTGAGTCAACGCGATAAAAAGGTATGGGACAAATTTAGATTTTAAGTAAATTTTAAGTAGTAGCAAAATTTTCCTTAATTCTCAACTTTTTTTTTTGGGATTTTTCCTTTTTTGTGCTGTAAAACCTTGCCTTTTGCCAACTTTCGAGATTCTAGGTCAACGGAAACTACCATATAGGCTTTCAACTTAAAAGTCACCTCAGTTATTTTTTAAGTTCAGATTATAACACTAATATTCACTTTGAAAAGTCAGCAACTGTACTTGTACTATATATTCACTTGTAAGGTATTAACCTTGTCTAATATTAACTTTCCAATATATTAACGATTATTTCTAGTTACTTTTTCTCCCTTCATATGTAGGTTTTTATATTTTTGAGCCAATTTCCGAAGGTAATACTAAGTAATACTTTTCAATTAGTTGCTTCATTTAATTCTCTCATGGCGGGTGCTTGAGGAATGTTCAGATTCCATCCTTGCGCTCTACGCGAGCGTCATAACAAAATACACACTAGTCGACATCAATGACAAATATCTTGGTAGAATAACTGATCGTAGCATACACGTTATTACTTCTTTATGTAAGAAGATGTGGTAAGAGAGTATTTCTGGCGGTCGGGCAGATTATAAGTGACATTTGCAACACCCGTAGGTTCGCACACGTGTTACCTTTTCATAGAGTGTGCCTCGGTTACCTCACCCACCACATGAAACGAAGAAGTATAATGAATAATACATCCACGCTGGTTTTCTGTGAGGTCGCTGCTTCCTGGACGTATTGAATTTATGCTCGATTGTCACTGAGTCGTTGTTAAGGTTTTTCGGAGAAATGATTGGCGACATAGCTCAATCCATCTAATAACCAGATAAAACATATTTTTTCCGAAATATTATTGATTTATAAACAAATGACGCTTTGCAGATTAAAAAGTGTTCATTGCTATTTTTAATTAAATCAATTTTAATAAATTTCTATCGTAGCCTTCACTCTTTTGATAACAGAACAAATTTAGTTTAAATCGATAGTTTTTTAATTGTAATATGCCTCGGTAAGCTGGCAGACTTCTTTCTTTTCGTGCGCTACCTTGAAAGCACCAATGTGTACAACCAAAAAAATTGGCGAACTGTTTACGTCAATTCCATGTGGCCTCATACAACCGATCCAGATTGTATAAAATTGCACCATGGAAACTGTGATGGGCTTTTTTTTTTGAACCAATCGTTTTTTTATTTCCAAAATACATGATTTACCAAAATAAAACCGAGCAAAGCTCAGTCCTACAGGTACTTATAATTAAAATAATAAAAAACCAGCCAAGTGAGAGTCGGATCGCGCATGAAGGGTTCCGTACCATTATCAAAAAAACCGGCAAAAAATCATGTCTGTTGTATGGGAGCCACACATAAATTTTTTTTTCATTCTATTTTTTTGTATTTATTTATAGCGGCAACAGATTTATATCATCTGTGAAAATTTCAACTGTTTAACTAGGACGGTTCATGAGATACAGCCTGGTGACAGACGGACAGAAATACAGGCGGACAGAAAGACAGACAGACAGAAAGACAGACAGATAGACAACGGAGTCTTAGTAATAGATTCCCGTTTTACACTTCGAGTACGGAACCTTAAAAATGAAAATCGGTAAGTTGAAAATATATTTTTAAAATATACAGTATTATTTATTTACTTTAATTTCTGAAAACCTATTGTGACACTTAAATACGATGTAAATTGTAGAAAGGAAATTATCCTAATAACGCACTGAAATAAACATCTAATATAAATAACGATGTAATTACCTACCGTAAAACATAAATTGTTGGAATTGTTTAGACTCCTCCTCATTGTCACCGACTAATAACTCATATATTTTATTAGTAATTTTAATATTCTAATGTTCGGTGGTATCCGAGAGCAAGCTGTTTTGTTTGAAATATGAACATGATGTTCTAATATGTAAAATGGTTGTGATTTTAAATTTAGATTAAGATATTCAGTGTTTAGTAGGTTAGCTTGAACTGTCTGTGTACATATTAGTTCAATTGTTATGGTTTTAATAACAGGGTATTCCTTTGAAGGCATTTCTTGAAGACGACTATAATTCGCGGGGGTTTTATTAGTTTATATTCTGCACTAATCTTAAAGCGTTATATACTGTTTAGCCAGCTCCATTTTTAAAAACGACGATTTTTTTAATGGGAAAAATTGGCAAACGAGCTGGCGGTTCACCTGATGTTAAGTAATAACCGTTGCCCATAGATATTTGCAAAACTCGTAGGGTTGCAAATGCGTTGCCACCTTTAAATAAAGTGGGCCCCGGCTACCTTACTCACCAGACGAAACGCAGCAGTGTAACACTTCTACTTTACGCCGGTCTTCTGTGAGGTCATAGTAATTACCCGGACGGACCTGCCCATTAGTGCAGCAGTGAAAACGATAGATAGATTCAATGATATTAGTAATGTTTTATTCTCTATTTTTCTCCTGGCTTTTCGTTCAGCATCCTAGAGCTTTTGCATGAAAGGAAAAACGTTTTTTTGGTTCTAGCGAGGTTCAATGGCATATTCTTTAAAGCCTGCAAGATCATAATATAGGACTAACGTACGCTCGGCCTCTCCTAACAAGAGACTAAAAGAGGAAATGGGTTCACGGATTATGTCTGGTTGTCCGTTTAAGTTGACCTAATGCGCGTGGCAAAAGAACATTATATAGTAAAGTAAAGATTACCCTATCTATATCCCACAGCTGGGCCAAGACCTCCTCTGTACAGAGGGTATCAGGGTATAGTCCACCACGCGGCCCCGCTGCTGATTGGCGGACTTCACATATCTTCGAAACATTATTTTGTTATTATTTCGAAAAAATGTACGTTTCCTCATTTTTAATTCACAGCTGAGCACGTGATAATTCAGCACTTAAAATTAACCATTTCATTGGTGCCGGCACTGGGGATCGAACTCAGATTGCTCGAATATATGGAATTAAAAGCGAGCGCCCCGACAATGAGATACCACGGCTGTGAAAAAAAAAAAAAGAACATAATAAAATAATATCATCATCATCATATCCAACGTCGCGTAAGTATGCCTTTTAAAAAATCTCTTTATCCTTACACGGGGCTTCTAAGTTTAATAAAACCAATAAATATCCATACCTATTCTGTTAAGGTAATGTAAAATTTATCTTTGTGTTATATTTCCAGAAGAATGTTAGTTTGTTTGGTCAACTGACCATACGCCGTTTTTCGATTATCGTTGGTGCCTGCAAGAACTCTCGATGATTGAAATCTCTGCATTCTGTCAGGCAAGGCTGGCGAGGAAGTAAGGGGTCGAAATAATTTTCCACTGGTGTAACAATGATTTGCGTTTTCTATGCTTTATTTACTTCTATGCCTTATTCAGAGGTTTTTATTGAAATTTTTTTATAATAAACAATAAATTATTTTGAATTCCCTTTTTTGGATTGTTCAGTTCGAAATTATTTTGAAAGTTGGACTAGCTGGGACTAGTGTAATAAGTCCCACTTTGAGATGTTATCATGGTAAAAAAAAAATTTGGTTTGACAACAGATTCGAATAGGGGCCGTCCATTAATCACGTGAGGTTTTTTTTGCATTTTTTAATCCCTTCCTCGTCTTTAGTGATACGTGCTAATGTTTAAGACTACCCCCCTACCCCCTTCCAAAAGCACGTTTATTTTTTGTATCAACGAAGAATCTTAAAATTATTAGAATATAATCTTGGTAACAGATTTAGAGTATAATCTAATTACACGGTAAGCTTAATATTCTGTAATTAAAGACCATTATAAAAATGTAATGCCGAGTCAAGGTCAGACTATACACTGCTTTTCGGTTTATAAATCGCGCGTTTCACGAAAAAATAAATACACATGCGACAGCCTCATCAATAAGTAAGTGTAATGCTTCTATATTGAATTAAGATATTTGACTTGACTTGAAAGCCCCTCCCCCTTGTGATATTTCGTGATTTTTGCCCGCACCTAGAGCCTCACGTGATTAATAGGGGGCCCCATAGCTGTTTATCATGTCAAATGACCTTTAACTTGAATCAATTACTCGTTTTTTATTTTGTTTTTATGGGTACTCAAATTTAGATTGTTCATTTTATTCTTATGTACTCCGTCCTTAGTACTTACAGCATTAAGATTTTTGCTATATGGCTTCTCTTTTACTTTTTGTTCATGATTGTTCTTGATGTAAGACTTTATGTAGAAGTCGGAAAATAGGTACATGAAGAATAAGATATTGAATATAATAACCCCGATAAGGCCATGCGAAGTAGGACAGGACGAGACTTTGTGGTTAATTGTGACTTGTAAAACGATCAGCAAAAATTGTACCTGTAACAATGGAGTCACTCGAGCTTTAATGTTTTTAAACTCGGAGCAAACGATATTCTACTTAACGTTCACGATTTCAAACGATAACACGGTAAAAAGAGCATATCATGCTCTTTTAAACTGTTATTAAAAAAAAAAACGTTGTTCACAATAAACTAGTTGGTATTTTTTTACCAATCTGCTTCGAAAATCATTTTATATGGACACGCGAGAAAATTGATGTAATCATACCAGATAAAAATGAAAACGTACCAGTTGCATAGTCGTGATGTACTTTTTCCACCATAAATACTTCGTCAGATCGGGAAAGGTGGAGAGTCCGTAGTAGGCGTACATAACTATGTGAACAAAGGAGTTAACCGTGCCGAGGAACACCGTACTGTAAGAGGGCTCGTACTTCAGGGCGCACCAACTGGCCAGCATCGTGATGGAATGGTGGTAAACGTGGAGAAAAGTGACCTGACGGTAGTTCTTTCGAAGCACGAAGAATACGGTGTCGAGCAGTTCAGTTATTTTAGCGAACAAGTAGTAGTAGGTCCCAACTGTAATCTGAATTAATACGACTTTATAGTATCTTCCTCACCTCGGAATCATAAGGTTAAGCGAATCTATTTTAAGTTCAATTTTATTTTAATCATATACACAAATAGAACTAAACTACTATTCTTAGAACTACTTCAATAGACACTTGCCCAGTTTGCAAACCTAGCCACGGGAAATACTCAACTCATAGCGAACTTAAAATAGGCTGAATAGAACTATTAAAAATAAAACAATTTTCTCGCAAACAAAATATTCTCTCCATAAATCCTGACTATATTGATTACTATTACAGTACTTATAAATTATTTTACTTACTTTCTTCTTTAAATCATCACTATCAGATATACACCTGCGTTGTAAAATAAGCCCGTTTTGTAGGAGAAGTTTAAATCCCTAGGAAAGAAGAGGTAATTAAAATTAAAATATGTAGAAAAAGTACGAAAAGATTGTCGCCGCTGTGGTAATCGAACCCACGTATTCGGCATTCGCGACCTGACGCTTTAACCACTAAGCTTAACGATTGATTGCCACACCGACGAAAATCTTAACGTCTTTTATCTACATTGTTTTTAACATTTAAAGCAATGCTTGGCGCATCCATTGTTATATCCTTTCCAGCAAACAAACGAAAACAAACGAAACGCAAAAATTCGAAAGAATTATCGTTGTAAAACCGCGAATGCCGAAGACAGGGGTTCGATTCCAACAGCGGCAATCTTTTCGTACTTTTTCTACATATTTTAATGTTCAATCTTAAGTGCAAAGATTAGCACTATAAGAACAAAATAAATCTTTATTGATTTATTAGCACTATAAACAATTTCAATTTCTAAGAAGAGGTAATTATAATGTTTTACGTTCTCTAAATGATCATTTCGAATAAATAAATTACAAAAGAAAACATGAATTTAATGGCATCGATTGCGACTACATAACAACGGTCTGACACTCATTATCCATCTTCATTTCAGAAAGTTTTAGTCCGCTTTTAGTTGCAGACCTCTACCATAGACTGCCACGAAGTCCTAAATCTATTTCTTGCAAATTTGCGCAGGTTATCACTACATCGTACATCTAAAGCTTTCATTCATTAGGGAGGGTTTTCCATGGTCGTCACGCCTGGCGATTGGATGGTGTAACCGTAGTTTGTTTTCCAGACAACTCAGACTTTTAACGATGGTGGTTATTGGCATGTGTATTTAGGTTCTGGAAAGTTGAGATGCTTATCCCGCCATGTATTGGAGGCGACTAGATCTTTAGTCGCCTCTTGCACCCACGGGGTGAGATGAGGTGGCTTGTTCTTACGCCGGCACCATTCGAATTGAATTTATGTAAAACGTAATATATCATGACACAAATAAAGAATTACGTAATGACAAATTCAATTATTAGCAACACTGAAATCCATTTAAATGTATTATAATGTAAATACATTGAATGAAATGAATTACTTACAATGCAGAATACGAAACATGATATCAAAACTTGAATGGTATTATAAAGAAGAAGCACATTATTTAAGTTGAACGGCGCCCTTTTCCTCATCAATGCCGGTCCAATTTTCAAAACGAAAGCAAGGTATGTGATCCAAATCGTTACAATCGGCATTGGTGTCGACATGAGGAACCATTTGTCCACGTAGTCCACTGAAATAACAAAGAAACAAAGCGTTTAATGGAGAGTTTAACTTCTACTAACGGGTGAAGTAGAAGTTTTTTTTACTTTTTTCTTTATGTCAAAAGTTGCCAAGCGGGCAGATGGTACACCTGATATTAAGTAAATACCACCGCACATGGAAATCTGCTACACCCGAGGGTTCCAGATGTGTTGACAACCTTTTGAAAATTGGGCTCCGGCCACCTCACTCACCAGACGCAACATGAAAGTATTATACTTCCACTTTTCACCGGTCTTTTGTGAGGTCGTAGTACTTACCCTGATGAGGCTGCCCATTCGTGCAACAGCCGACACTGCTGCGTGGCCCTACCACCGTGAAAGCTGAATTTATACTTTGGCATTAATATATTAGTTTTATTATATATTTTTTTTATGTGAATTTGCCAAACGAGCAGACGGTTCACCTGATGGTAAGTGAATACCGCTACCCATGGACATCTGTTACACCCGAGGGTTACAGATACGTTGACAACCTTTTGACAACCTTTTGGGCTCCGGCTTTCTCACACACCAGACGAAACTCGAAAGTATTTGTGATACTTCCACTTTACGCTAATCTTCTGTGAGGCCGTGGTTCTTACCCGGACGAGCATGCCCATTCTTGCAACAGCCGAAGCTGCTCGTGGCCCTACCACCGTAAATCTATTACCAATAAAATGATTATAAGACCAAATCGGAACTAAATGGAACGGATTTTTGAAATCGGTTCATAAATTTAATGTCGGAGCTCTGAGTTAAGAAACTTACAAAATACAAACGAAAACTTACAAAATACAACCGAATTGAGAATCTCCCCCTTTCTTCAAGTCGGTTTGAAAATAAAAATATATAAAAAATAATAATTTAGCGCGTTATCAGAAGTTATGGTCGGTTTAATCACAGTGCCATGCGAAAATCATGACCGACAATTATGGCCGGCGTACGGCCACAAGCTTATAATTTGTCACGTTTAACTCGTCGTTAAGTTCGGTGTGATAAACGTGAATAGCATTGACAAGACTGTTCATACGGCTACGAGCAAAGTAAGCGAAGTGTTAATGCTTTGAATAAACTTAATATAATTGTGTGTAAGAATATCCGTCTAGACTGATATGAAATGCTATCAACTGATGTATATATTAATTTTTGTATATATTCCAAAAGATAAAAGCTAAATTATATGAAAAAAGTGTATGTTATTAAGACCCAAATTCGAGTATATAATGTATAACTGTGGTAGGACCACGCAACAGTGTTCTGTCCGGGTCAGTACCACGATCTCACAGAAGACGGGTGTAAAGTAGAAATGTTACACTTCTGCATTTCGTTTGGTGAGTGAGGTAGCCATGGCCCACTTTGTTTAAAGGTGGCGTCGAATTTTCAATCCTACAGGTATTGCAAATATCCATGGGCGGCCGATATCACTTAACATCAGGTTAACCGCCAGCTCCTCTGCCACTTTCTCACTTAAAAAAAAACATGTGGCAGGAGCCTATCACATAGGGTTCATCATAACGTGTATAGTATCTTTATATATAAAGTGCTTGTTAGTGTTTGCTAGTGGTTTCCTCGAATTACGGAAACATATACAATAAAGCTTTCGGCTACTACGTCTTAAAGCTACTTGATTATTTTATAATTTACAATTTTTTTAAGATTGAATTGATCCTTAATTTGCATGATGATAAACGTGTAAAATATAGGAACAATACATCTAATTGTTGATTAAGTCACATATGTGATGTAAGTCACATATGTAATGCTGTAATAATCCGTAACACTGAATTCTAATGGCATTAGTACTAACCAATTATTTTGAATAAACGTTTAGAACGATGTAATCTGAGTTTTAAATTAATGCTAATTTATATATCTTTATAATGCCACACAATTGCAAATGGATTCATTAATGTAATTTAAATTTCTACAAGTCACTGAAACCATTAACGTGTTTTATAATTGATTTCCCGCTATTTTCTTACGTTAATTACTATGTCCAATTTCTTTTATTAAAAATTAAAACACATTTTCCTTACAAACTGTTTTTATTTTATAATTAAATAATTGCCAAGATTTCTCTTTAATTTAAGGACGTAAATCCGGCGAATGTAAGCGTTTTTATAAACAAAAAATATTACTATAATATCTTAAGGGAAATCCTTAGTTTAAAAATAATGGACATAATTATCATTTCTAAGTTTGTACCTTGTAGCGTTCTATTTTATTTTTTAAACTGTCTGATTTGGAAATTCTTCTTACTTAAATGTCACGATTAACACGTTGTCGCCACATTACGTAGTGTTCGAAACTAGGAACATAAACTATAATCAATTGCGATAATATTATTAAAATATAGCTTAACATGCGCAATGTTCGCGTAATTACTAAAGTTTATCTTATATCCGATTGAATATAATTATTTACAAGAATATTATCATCATACTAGGTATATTTTATATAAAACTAGCGATCCGCCCGTCTTCGCACAGGTGCAGTGCTGAATGGTTGTTTTCGACATCGCATTAGATACCTCTAAAGTTATCAGTATTTCTCTACTATATTATGAATGAATTATACATGTGAAAAGTTGCCAAACGAGCAGGCGGTTCACCTGATGTTAAGTAAATACCGCCGCCTATGGACATCTGCAACACCCTAGGGTTTGCAGATGTGTTGACGACGTTTTTGGAAATTGGGCTCCGGCTACCTCACTCACCAGACGAAACGCGAAAGTATTTGTCATACTTTAACTTTACTCCGGTCTTCTGTGAGGTCGTGGTACTTACCCGGACGAGCCTGCCAATTCGTGCAAGAGCCGAAACTGCTGCGTGGCCCTACCACCATGAACAAACAAACATACTACACACGTCTTAAATTATAAAATTTCAAACTTTGTTTAATAACTTTGTGAATCTAAATCATTCTCGAATCCACCTGAGCACACACAAAAAAATTCATTGAAATCGGTCCAGCCATTTAGGAGGAGTTTAGTAACATACACACGTACAGAAGAATTATATATATAAAGATTAGAGTTACTTACTCTTTTATGGGATAATGTTTACGCTTCTACAACAAAATCCCAGTTAATGCGCAAAGCCTGTCTATTAACAGGTTTAAAAAATTTATTAAATAAAAAATTTTAAAAGGATTATTATGATATAATGTATAATGATAACAACCCCTCGGAATGAGATCGATCTTAAGCTGTTTTAAAAAATATATATTATGTACTGTATAACATTGTAACGGTTTGAGGAAAAGAAATGGCATAAAGAGGAAACCTACGGAGTTTCTTTAGCCTGTTTCTTCTCCATCAGAGAAACCTTATTAAGAAAGATTTAAAAGTGGAAGATTTAAAAAAACTCTATCAATAAATGTACATTACATTTCTTACTTCAATTGGATTTGATTAATAAGTCGTACGATAACCTTTGTATTAAAATAACCGTTAACATTCTTCTGAAAATTAAGCTTTAGAGTCAATTCACCCCTTATATTATGTGTTATGTAATATTTTTTAAAATCTAGATTGTTGGAGAAACCAAAGGAAATCAATAAAAGTTTGCTTTGTTTCTCTTATTAGTCAAACAATTTAACGGTTGCGTAACTCGTTGAATTCCAGATAAATTTTAGGCTCACCGTTCCCTTTAAATTGCCAGAAGGAATTCTCCACTGTCCCGTTTTCTGACATTTTTTTTCCGACACGACCAAAGCCTGTGACTATTACTTGCAAATGTAATTGCGTGATATCGGTTCAGTTAATTCGTATAGCGATCGATTGATTTTGATTAATTGTCAGTAAAACGGTGCCCCTTGGATGACCCTTGATGTCAATACGAAACGTAATTTTAATCGGAATACATATAACAAAAACAACTAATATGTATGAGTCTGAAAAAGTTTTTAATAGTTTGAACATGGCTGTTTATAAAATTTCCATGGTGTCTAAAGATTCAAATATTTGACTGAGGCTACTCTAAAAAAATTATTCTTTACCACATTTTGTAGTATTCCTAAAAGTTATCATCAAGTCTATATTATGTATGTCTAAACAATTTTTTTCACATTCCCTACGCAGTTATATGACAATTGTTATTGCTTTTTAACAGCCTCCATAATGTTAAATTGATATGAATAGTAAATCAGCTGATGCTGAGTCGTTCGACAAAAAGTCAAGGAATGGTCTAGTTAGGGGTAAAATTTCTGTACAATATATCAGCCTATCACCGTCCACTGCTGGGCGTAAGCCTTCCCAAAGTGCGCCAACTATCCAGGTCCTAGACAGCCTGCATGCATCCATTGCCCACCGCCTTTCTTAAGTCATCAGTCCATCGTACTGCAGGCCATTCCACACTGCATTTACGTTATCGTGGTGTCCACTTTACCATGTGTCGGCACCAGCGACCATCAGTACGTCTGGAGACATGATCAACCCACTTCCACTTCAGCGTGCTAATTTTGCGCGTAGTGTCGGTGAGTCTAGTTCTCTGGAAAATGACTTCGTTTTGCAACCTTGCCTGCCAGAGAAATCCCAATCATGAAAATGTCTGTACCGGATGAAAATTTGGCGAGTATTTGGTTCACTCGATGATAGGTGAATACCGTCTAGAAGTACCGAATACCTAGGTACTTCTAAAACACCTGAGGCAGACCATATTTTTTCTATGTGAGAAGGTGATAAAAAACGAGCTGGCATTTCACCTAATGTTAAGTGATAACCGACGCCCAAGTACATTTGGCCCCCAGCTATCTCAATTAGCCGATCAGTCATTAGACTTTTCAATAATGGATGATTTTTTCGAGACTCGAATAGACATTTGGTTCGATATAAACGACTTAATTAGGTAAATATAATATTTATATCTGTCATTGTGCTATTTGTAGACGCTTGAGATATATATATATATGTATGTATATTTATAATCGGAATCTCGGAAATGGCTCCAGCGATTTTCATGAAATTTTGTATGTGCGTAGATACGGGGGCGATCATTGCTTTCTTTATTTTTTTAATGTCCAAAATACACGATTTACCAAAGAAAAAACCGATCCTCCAGGTACTATAAGATAAGATAAAGGTAACAAAATGAATACACATTTTTACTTTAAACAATTCAATTTATTTAACACAATCTAACTCTTATTCATAACTTAAAAACAACAATTTACAATTACTTGCAACTATTGCAAAAATAAATATTTCATCAGCAAAACTTTAGCATTGTGAGCTTATTATGCGAGTAATTATGTCGTCTGTCTCATAACCTCATTACCCAACGTTAACACATTATAAAGAATAAGGTGCTAAAATTATATGATTAAGTTATGGACGCAATTTTAGTTCATTTGCATATTGGTGGCAAATTAAAAAAAAATCGAGGCACTTCAAATTTTGAAGATATGTATCACAGTGATATGTGTGACATATTGGACGAATATATTATTAATCGATTATATGAAAGCGTCTTTTCAATTAACTTGTAGAGAAGCTTAGTTTGTCTCCGCGATACATACAATTTCACATTGTTCATCGCAAATTATGTCTTTAAATCCTGTAAGGTAGTTAAAATAATTCTTCGTTTACTAGTTATACTTAACGGTAATTGTGCGGTCTTACCTTATATTTAGTTAGTAATTATAACCTCAAAACTAATTTTGTAAGGCGTGACATCTCACTGGAGGTTTCAATTAATACCATTAAACTTTTTTCATTCATCAATTCTACAATTTATTATTTCTCAGTAATATAAAATACTATAAGAGAAAAACGATATAACATAATCATACTTTAATTTTTTTTATATACTTTCTTCATATATACTTCTCATATAAGCAGCACCAAATATACTTAACACTTTTTTTTAAATATTTAAAATCTAGCTTTGAATTGTTCATACGCCGACAAAATGCAATTTATAAGGCACGTAAATGATCCATAATTACAAATTGTAGATTTTAGATGTTTGTACGTAAAATAAGGTTTAGCATTATTTTTATTATTATCTTAAATTATCTTTTTCAAATTTCCTATGTTAATTTTATTATTGGAAATTGCAGTATTCTTTACTCTTAATCATTACAAGCTTATAATGCCTAAGTCAATACAATATCTAATCATTATAATATCTTAGCTAAATTTGCATAGTTTTTTTAATAATATCGTCATCACAAATTAGGGCGGGCGTAATTATTTTTATAGAGTTAGAGTTTACCAAGTACAGTATCATAAGAGTCATAAAATATAAAGGAACCGAAGTCGCATATGATTTATTTGAAATTGAAATACTATATAAGCGTAAATCCACCCACCATCTTTTCTTCCTTACATCATCCTATTCAAAATTCAACCCTCTTCATCACAAACATCAGTCTCAAGTGAACGTACTAGTGAAGCCATAATAAAATCATTTCTTTATTATACGATCAATGCCACATTCTGAACTGAAAGCGCATTTGGCGGAACGTCGAGTAAGGTACGCTTTGCCATCTTTTATAAAATCTCCGCACGCTTTTTCAACTTCACACGGGCTGTCTTCCAAATTAGGAATGCCTTTGCATATATCACCCGTCAATTCCATCTCATTGTCACTAAGCTTTCTTGTCACGCCGTTTGACTCTGTGTTATTTTTAACCTTGTCATACATTGCTTTGAGTTCCTTGTTCTTGAGCAGCTTATAATTTTTTGTGTAGAAATTAATGAAAAGAATTAGAAATATTGTGACGTTAGCAGAAATGAAGTAAGTGAAACCGGGTTCATATTGGCACCGCGGTGAGAAATACGTCCACGCACAGTAGGACAGCATAAGGACGAACTGGATCTGTAAATTTGGAAATAAAATTCTTAATACACGTTTTTTTTATATAATTATAAAATTTGTAAATTTGTAACTTTTTTAATTTTAAGTGATTTCTGCCTCACACGAACACCACATGATATTGCAACATGAAAATAAACGAAAAAATTATATTGCAGATGCTTTTCCAACGTTAAAAATGTGGGCCCAGTTTCGCTCACCACAGGCTGTGAAATTTACCTGGACGAGCCTACTCATTCTTACAGCAGCCAAAGTTATTGCATGATCCTACCACAGAAAACACACCTCGGGTGGTTTTACAGGATCCATGAGAAAAACGTTTGTAAAATCTCTGAATGCTACCGAAAGTGAAAGAAATGATTTTATTTTGCTTAAAATGATAGATACAAAAAAAGAATGTCATTCAAAACGTACTATTGCGTAGTCAGATAATAATCTAACACCAAACACTATTTTAATAATGACTATATATTTTAATAACTAATTTGCATTAAAGAAGATCCATAAAAAACGAGCAAAACACCCGTAAAGTAGGTAAGTAAAGGTTCATTTTGATTGGAATGGTATGTTCAAAATCATATAAATGGTAAATACGTACCAACTGCATCGTTGTAACGTACTTCTTCCACCATAAGTACTTTTGGAACTGAGGGCCCAGCCCCGACAGCAAATAGTACGTGTACATGACAACATGAACGCCAGAATTCAGGAGAGCTAGAACCGCCCCTTCGCCAGCAGCAGCAAATTTGAGATAGCTCCAGGAGTAGAGCGCCATAATAACGTGGTGATACACGTGGAGGAACGTCAGCTGTAAAGAAATCGTTTTATTGCAGTACTCGCATCTTTTAAATGCATGTTGGTAAAATTTAGAAGTGGCACTATTTGGACCTTGACAAACTCCCTCGGTAGACGAAACAAAAAATAATATTTGGCACACGCCCATCATCTCACTATGTTATTAATGATTTTTTTCTTATAACTTTAAACGAGAAGATAATTAGATTAGAAGGTTTAATTACATCAAAAGGTTTAATTAATTAGATTAGATTAGAAATTTTCGGATCTGGGTGTATGTCCAGTTGAAATTTATTCATGTAAAATGTTTCTTATAAGACAGGATAATGTGATCCTACAGTAAGGGCTATGTTAAAAAAATATAATTATGAAATTATACGAAACTATTTAGCCAAAATGCATGTATATCAAAGGAAAATAATAAATTTTTGATGACGATTAACAATACCATATCTTGTAAGGTGTTATGTACTTGCATTGTTGGTATTGGATATTAGTCTAATGATACATTGTCTGATGGCGCTATAACATCATCCGAATGCAAATAACCATACCGTAGCGATTTTATAGAAAGAATTGACTTTAGATTTAATTTATTTATATTTAGAAAGTATCACAAATAAGTTAACTCTTTCTATTCTTCCTATTATTAAATAGGTTACATTATTCATTCACCATTCAGTTTTCCAAAAGAATGAATCTACGTGTCTCTGATTATATTTACCTGTTTGTTTTTCTTTCTCAACACGAAGAACACAGTGTCCAGTAGCTCTGTGAATTTTGCGAAAAAATACCACCAGCCCAAGTCGAGGAGCTGAAATTAATGATAAAACAAATGTATTGATCTGCCACAGACACAATTGTTATGTTGTATTGCCAATTAATATGCCTTGTATATTACTTGGCAAATGAGTTGAATAATCGAAATTCTTGTATTTTTTGAAAAGTTGGAAAGAGAAGAGGTGATTTATCTGATGTTAAGTGGTTACCGCCGCCTATATCTACGCACGCGATTTGCACCCAGACGGTTAAACCACTAAGCTAAACGGCTGATTGTCACGCCGACGAAAATCTCAACCTATTTTATCTAAATTCTTTACTCGCATACTATGCAACGCTCGGGGCATCTATTGTAATTGATATTATAGCACAAACAATTTCGAATATCGTTTTACAACAGTAATTCGAACGAGATATGTCACCATAGCTATTCGAAATTTAACTGTTTTTTGTTCAAATGTATCGAATTTATGTAATCAAATAATTTCAATTAGTTTCTTTTTCATTATTTTATGTTCATACATAGAAGTGGATATATTTAAAAATGCTAGTTTACCAAAGGGTTTTGTGTATTGGAGGGATACCGGCAGCCCGCGTAAATTATACCGTCTCGGAACAAATTCAACTTGAAGACCTGAAAACATCAAAGCATTAGATTTCTTTGTTTATTCTATAGACCATAGTTTAGGTTTTAGTTAGCTTTCTCATAAAGCTAAAAACTGTAATAGTTTTAATACACCTAAAATACATTGCTGGCCAACTAACTGTGTCAGATTGATTGCCTATTACGGCATTCTTGTCAGTGGCGAAGGAAAATATCAGGAGGAAACTGGTGCGGCTAAAAATATAAAAAAACATACTAAGCGTGATGTGAATGTATTGTGAACCCATGGAAAGTTTTGCATAACCCACATACCGGTTTTATTTTGTTTAAATATTAGTAACAAATCTTAAATTAACGCAGTCTTTATACCTTTATGTTTCCATGTATTGTTTTCGATTTAGTCGAGAATCATGCTAGTGCAGAACATTGTGAAGTACCACATTAATCACGTCTCAAAGTTGAATATTTTAAATGATGTTAAATGTTAAATTATATCAGGCAGGTTGCAGGCATAATATGAGTAGAGAGGCCAGAGAGAGATCAGAATGAAGTAGGTTGGAGGAGGCCTTTGCCAACTTGACTTTACATAGAAGAACCAAATACACGAATAATTTTAATTATTTAAGGTAACAATAAATAAATAAATTTTATTTTAGTAGTTATTGTGCAGTAGTAACAAACGTATCCATTGTCCGATTAAAAGGTTTTATTCTAAAGGTTAAATACCACCCACCTTCATACATATCATTGCTGCTAGCACGACTTGAGCGGCGTTGTAGTAGCTTATAACTTTGTTCATCTTCAACGGTGGCCTGTTTTTCATCAATTTGGGTCCAACACGCAGGAATACTAGGTAAGCGCCTATCACCGACAGGATAGGAATTGGACTGGACATCATGAACCAAGAATCGACCACGGCACCTGGAAGTTGACGATAAAACGTTTTAATAAATGTGACACATATACCTACTGCGCGGGGTTTAAAAATTGTTCCGCTTTAAATTATATGATATATATAAGTGAATGAGACAGATGATATAGAACGTATCGTACAGAAAGAGACAGCAGTCAATAGAATTGAAATATAATTACACCAATTGGCGTAATTTGAGTGCCTCAGTTTCGATGTACTAGTGCCATATCTACCTCGTATTTGTATATCATTGGTTAAATGTATGTAAACTGTATCGTCGTTTTGTTACAACTGAATTTTACTCAAGATCGTACGTAAAGACGTAAAGTTTAGCTTGTTCGTCTTTTACTTAAAACGCCTAGCAACTTTAAAAAGCAATGTAACAGAAAGATTGATTAAAATATGAATTAAATCTAAAGCACTTACTTTTTCCAATTTTCAAGGAATCGAAGTATCCATCTATTTTTTCCAGGTAACTCATTATTGCGGTTTATCTGCAATCAAGTAATAATAAAACTTTTCGTGCCTCTAGACGTATGCTGTCAAATGCGTTGTTTTCATTTGTCGGCCAGCGATATTTTTAAATTGAATTACTTTTGATTTACACAATAAGTTCTTATTCGTACGCATTGCGGTTAAACAAGGTGGTTTGCATTAAAACGCAAAATGCTAAAAGAATACACGTAGAAATGGATTAAATCCGAAGCAAAACAATTACAGTCAACATTGCGTTACAATGGTAACAAATAAATACAGCTTCTTACAATAACATAAACATGTACCAGTCGGTTTAAAGGTTTTTATTACACACCGTTCACCATTAACAAATCATTTCTTTTAAGAGTCATCAAATCTTATCTCAAAATGTACACTGAACGCCTCACAGCGTACTCCAACAAAATCTTACTTATTCAAAAATAAAAGGGGTAGCTGAACATGAGTGGAATTTATAACACACTAGCGACCCGCCCCGGCTTGGCACGGATGCCATGGTGCCATTATACATATAAACCTTCCTTTTGAATCACTCTATCTAGTAAAAAATTATTACAAAAGGACAAATATTGACATTAATATTTATACGGTACTAACGTCATTTAACTGTATTGCCTTCCCGGAACCCCTCCACTAACACTTAAACTTTATGGTATGGTATTAAAGTTCAAATTGACTTTTAAGTATTATTACGAATCTTTTGTATGGGAAAATAGAAAAATGTTGTTTTTAGACTTTCTCAGGCAATTTTTAAAATTTTTCTCACTCTAAGAACCATCTTCGTACTTCAAGGAATATTATAAAAAAATAATTAGAGAAATCGGTTCAGCAGTTCTTAAGATTTGCGCTTAGCAACACATTCAACCATTCATTTTTATATATACAGATTACATGCACCTTTCCTCGGCTAGATATTTACAAAATTAATTAAAATATTATCAATTAAGCAATTTTTTTAACCGATCACGATGCGGTAAAAGTAAATAGGATTTTCGTTCGTACCTAGTTCTCCAATCAGAAATTTCCGTACGTGCTGCGTTTCTTTACAGGATTTTATATGGTTTCAGGTAATGCAAAGCTGACGTTTACACTTTTTTTTTTCAAACGGCCGATTTCTCGTTTGCTTTAAATTTTAAATATACAAATAATACAACTTCAGCTATTTTGTTAAAGTTTTAAGTTACTATTGACGTCCATGAATATTTTGAAACCTCTAAAATTTTAATAATAGTTGCAGAAACAAATTGTTTTATACGTTTGTAAAGTATAATTTATACTTTTATGTGAGGGCACGCGAGAAGGCTATTCACCTGAAGTGATGCCCGTTGACATTTGTAACACCCGTAGCGTTGCAGAAGCTTTGCCACCTTGTAATAAAATGAGCCCCGATTACCTAAACCACGAGACAGAACTACAATAGTTCCACTTCATGCGGGTCTTCTATGAAGTCGTGGTACGTACCGCGACGGATCTGCCTATTCGTGTAACAGCGTAGACTATTGTGTGGTCCTACCACAGTCAAAATAGTCTTTTATAGTTTTATTCCTTGTACCGCATTGGTTTTATTCCTCGATAGAGATTCTTTGCCAAACGACTGTAGACTCCATATCACAACTCTCAGATGATATTTTATCGTACAGGCTTGTCAAATCTTGTGCTTTAATAATATGTGTCTTTTGATCTTAAAGTTACTCATAGACGGAGACATCTTAAAGGAGAGCCTATTCCTATTATAAAAGCTTGCAACACACCCGTGTATTCATCTGGTATTGTGAATATTCAAGAGTGGCGGTGAATAACTCTTAGATCTTCAAGTTTGTCTCCTTTCTCATTAAAAAACACTTATTTCTCTTACATTTACGATACTTCTAATACAGTTAGCCCATTTATGCTTAGATGCTTTTATTCAAATATAAGAGTTATTAACCGCTATTAATAGGAAACAAATACATTGAGCGAGTACATTGAGTCGTGACTTCGAACGACTATAACAGTGATTGTATGCATCGAGTGACAGACAACAATCCTTTTTGGAGGTATGTAATTTTTCAAAGTATATTTTTCTATTGATATATTTCTGGACTTGAAGTTTTAAATTTGAAAACCATTTCTTTGTGGTCATTCAAATCGCGGACTAAGGTCAATTTTGAAACTCCGTTTACGAGCAATGAAATATGGCTTCATCCCCGAAGGATGAAGATATCTTCAAATTATATAATTTGTTTTTATAGTTATAGTGTGTGTATATAATTATGTAATATGATAGTTCATTGGCCGGACGCCCGCTTTTAATTCAATACAACTCTACCTAAGTTCAATCCCCCGTGCCGGCCACCAATGAAATTGTTAATTTAAGTGCTGATTTATCACGTGCTCAGTGTTGAAGGAAATCGTGAAATGTTGAAGGAAGGATCGTGCGGTGGCATGGTGGACTATGCTCCAACACCCTATAAACAGAGGCCACCTTTGCCCAGCAGTGGGTCTTCATAGTCTGTTATTTTTTTAAAACATTGCCCTTACTTTCGGAAAACATTATCCTGTATTTTAAGGACCTTTTACAACCGAATATTTTTGGAATCGAACCCACGAACCTCGGCGCCGAAGCCAATACCTTGGCGACTACGTCACGGAGTCATCAAACTCAATCAAATCTAGAATCAAATACAACAACAAAAAATTTCAATCAGAATAAATGTAAGTATACACTACAATTTAAATTTTTTTACTTATTATAAAATAATATATGCATATAACTTTCATAAAAAATAGTAATCAAATCCATAAATAATTCAAAGACATATGATAACAATATATTTTTTTAAACTATTAACAATCGGCACAGGATTTGTAATGACAGAATGATTCATTTTCTCACAAACATTATGCCGACCATCGTAGGAAAATTTTCTCAAATAATATGCAAGTCTTAACTTCTCGAGTATTGTAACCTGAATCGATTTGATGGAAAGGCAATTTTCACTCCATTACAAAGCACTTGGCCGTCCTTCGGTTAAGATCTCTAACGACATAACTGTGCCCCTTTACTCTCGGAAGAGGTAAGTTTTGTCCGATTGTTAACTGAGTGACTAGTGTCGACCAACGGTAGACTCGAGTGGGGCATTGTGGGTCGCGATTCGCTTTGGATCGGAGGTTTCTCGGTCGACGCTTCCTTTATATATTGTATTCAAATTATCGTGTCGAAGTGTTGATTACGAAAATCTCGGGACATCCAATGTGGGGCAAAGGGGCACGCGTGTGCGTGGTACAATCGAATTTATGGGGCAACTGACAATAGCTGTTCGCTTAGTGAAAAGCGTGTGGAACCTTGAGCTGATTTTCAACTTGGGCAGATTAGTAACACATGAGTAGAGCGATAGATAAGCGGTCGCTTTGGTCAAGCTTGTCGCATCTCGTTGCTGACACTTTAAATTTTAAGATTATTGTCATTAGTCGTGGTGAGCGAGTTCACTATCGATTGCAGATACTATCGATTTTAAGAGACTATCATTAGTGGTATCGAACGCGACTAAGATTAAGACTTGGTTGGGGAATAAAGGTCATTGATAAGATAATAATAATAAAGATCATTGGTAAGAGCATGCTTATACTGGACGACGTTAAAGTAAGAAGAGTCGACTCTTCGTTGACAGTTGAGATGGTAAAAAAATGGGCCATAGTTTCTTTTCCGAACCGATAGTAATATTTTGACTATCAATATGTGAGTTTCATGTTGAATAAAGATATTTCAATTTGAATTTGAGCTATCTTCTGCAGTCTAATAAATACCAAACTTAATGTCTTAAAGTCAGTCAGTTTATGTTCTCCTATTTTAAGAATAGTCGAAATATTTATATATTCCATGTTTTACATTTTATTTTAGATTAGATTCCGATATGGGATAAGTGTAGTATGACCCACAAATGATTGTGAGGTTTAATATAAGGTAGGTGGCTGGTCGTAAAAAATCTAGCCAAGGTATGAGAAAGAATAAGAAGATTCTGAAGACATCATATTAATACACATATTCTATTATATTAATACACATATTCAATCTACACATATTCCTTCAATAATTTATGTTATGAAATAAGAATGTAATGCAGCGGGCAGTATTTTTCTTGCTGTATTCATTAACAGCAAGAGAAATGCTGCCAGGAATTGAAATTCCACATAAGTAACCTTATTTAGACACTTTCGTTTGTAGGTTAAGGTTTAATGTCTTATATTTAACAAATAGGTGAATACTAGACCACATTGAGTGCTATCACCTAAAGAGGTCAGTGGGCGTAATGATTCAGCAGTAATTCTTACGATTCGATAGTCAGGCGGAACACAAGATCACTGCTTATGAAAGATACAAAACGATTGATTCACCAAAGAATAATGTTATGTGTCGCCAAGAAAACGCCATTATTGAAGATCTTTTTAAAGAGATCTCCACCGATGATTGACTCATCACGTTGTCTCTGGAACCATAAGGTGTAGGGACTCGAAATTTGGTAGGAATATTCCTCTCGCCGAATAGAACGGATTTTATGAAATTCCACAAAACAACGTTTGCCGGATCGGCAAAATTTGATGCTTGACAATTGATCATGAAAATTTGATCGGAAAAATTTGATGCTGAGACAGCTGCTTAGAAATTGGCAAAAAGGTTAACATATCGGTTTAGTGTAAGTTACTACTGATTTACCTTAGAATAATACAATATGTGAAAATTGCTAAATTTTTATGCAATTACTATTATAGTGTAAGCATAACAAAAGTTACCAGACAACATGAAATAACTCGTAAAAATCTGAACAAAAAATTTATAAGTAAAGTAAAAAGTGACACTATTACGATAAAAATAATCGTAAGGTTCTATGTAAAGTGAAATAAAGTTAAAATTTATTTCAAAGAAACTAGTTGTATTCATCCACTTCCACTGGCAAGATGAGTTCGCGGCGGTGAAAAGGGAGCAATTCTTTACAGCCACCTCTGAAC